AAAATTAAATACATAGCTTTGAAAAAAATTCCAGGATTTGGGGGAGGTACCCCCTTGTATAAGAGGCAAATGAAAACATCAAAACTTGAGTCAGGTGTACTTAAGTTCCCAAAGGTCGGACATCTTTGCTTTGGGACACTTTAAAGAAGTCTTTTGCTACAGACTTGGCCAGTGCACTATGTCCTTTGACTGTGTCCCTGCTCTTTCTGTGGGTGCTGATTATAGATTGAAATAAATGAACTCCTTGAAAACTTCAATATTTTCTTTCTCATGATGCTGTACTTCACTCCTGTCAAGAGGAAGCTTGTTTTATGTAGTGCTATCATTTCTACTGAACGCTGTAGCCTTTGATCTTCCTAAGTAACGGCTTCAAGTCTTCACCAGTTTGATCGTGCTACTCTGTGTCATATCTCAGGTGGTTAGTAGTCTTAATGCTCCAGTCTTCATATAGCTCAGCTTCTCATCTGATTTCTTAGCGGACAAATCAAATAGGTATTTTTAAAGGATACAATCCTGATACACCTTTCCTGATTTTAAACCATGTAGTGTCCTCCTTTTGCTTTGAATGACCGTCTCTTCATCTATATACTCATTAGGTTCTGTGTGAGCAAAATTCAGTGTTCTGGAATTCCAATGGTCTGCAAAACTACGTATAATTTATTGTGATCTACACAGTCGAATGCTTTGCATAGTCAGTAAACCATACATAAGCATCTTTCTGGCATTCTCTACTTTCAGTCAAGTTCTATCTGACTTCAGCAATATTAACCCTTGCTCCATGTCCTCTGCTGAAACCAGCTTGAAATTCTGCCAGTCCCTGTTGATATACTTCTACAACTGTTTTTTCATGATCTGCAACACTCTTTTGCTTGCAGGTGATATTAATGGTATAGTTTGTTATTTTCTGTTTCCATTAGATCACCTTTCTTTGAAGGAGCACATATATGGGTATCTTCCAGTCCATTTGCCAGGTAGTCCGTTGTGTTTGAAGTATCTTTGTACACAGTGAGCACTCCCAGTGTGCATTCATTTGTTGAGGCATCTCACTTAGCATTGTGTCAATTCCTCCAGGACCATCTGTGCTTGATCACACATTACCTCCTGAAATGTTCAAATGTCACCCAACTCATGTGGACATAGTGACTCCATATAGCTCTTCCATCCTCTTTTGATGCTTCCTAAATTGTTGAGTATTTTGCCCATGTAATCCTTCAGTATTAACCTCAAGGCTTGAAATTTATTTTTCTTCATTTCGTTCAGATTGGGAATGTCAGGTCTTTGTACATTTCATTAGGATATTTCGCTTTGTCTTCTAAAGCCATCCTTTGTCCAAGTCTTTTACATAATTTTTTCCATTTGCTCTAGCAACTTTACATTCAAAAGAAAGTTTCATAGTGTCTTCTGCCATACGTTTTGGTCTTTCATGATTTTTAATGGCTTTTGCTTTCTTCATGTGTGATAGCCTGATATTATCACATAGTTCTCCTGATCTTCAGCTATTAGTGTGCAGTGCATCACATCTATTCCTGAAATGGCCTCTAGATTCAAGTTGTACTTGTTGTAGACTTCAAGTTCAACACAAACCTGAGTATGAGCACCTGTATATGATGGTTTGGTTCGCAGTTAGCCATTGGTCTTGCTCTGACGGCTATTAACATCTGCACCATCTCTCTCCACAAATATTGTCAATTTGATCACTGTGTAGTCCATCTGGTGAGGCCCACACCCATAGTCACGCTTTGTAATGTTGGAAAAAGGTATGGCCAATGTACAAATCATTGGTGTTCGTAAATTCTCTCAAGTGATTTCTAGCATTGCTCTTATTACCAAGGCTATATTTTCCATTTCCTGATCTTTCTTTTTGTTTTCAACCTTTGAATTTCAATCACCAATTAGTAATTATCAGTGGATCTTGACTGCATGTTTGATCGAGTTTAGGATGCAGAAGTTGGTGAAAGTGTTTCAAATTTCTTCATCTTTGGCATTAGTAGTTCATGCATAAATTTGAAAAAGAATTTATTAATTGGCCATCCTATAGTTGTATTGATACGATTCAGATTTTAATGTATATCTCAAAATATTATTTTTGACGATCCAAATAATAACAACAAAAGTCTGTTGTGGGCAATGATAAAATATATAATCAAACAAAAATTAAGTTTGATCACATACATTTAGAATTTCTACTTCTATGTATTATAAATTTCTTAAAACTGATAACCATTTATCTAAGGCCTGTTATATTCACCAGTTATGCTCATTAGAAAAAAATACACTTGTAATAATAGCATTCTACTGATATCTTTATATCAAAGAATGCTTCATGGAAACCTTTCCAGAGCCAAATGAATTAGCATCTGCTTACTTTGGGGGGCTTAGAAATGTGACTTATGGGTTTTATACTTGGTTTCACATGGTTTTTAAAATTATTTCCACACAATTATTGATTTGAAAGGAGTCCTGGTGTTGTACTTGGTTACATGTTGGGCTACCAACTATAAGGTCAGCAGTTCAAAACCACCAGCCAGCTCTGAAGAAGAAAACTGAAGCTTTGTACTCCTGTAAAGCGTGATACTCTCAGAAACCCACAGGGTGAGTTCTACTCTGCCCTACAGGCTTGCTGTGAAGTTGTGAGAGACTCAATAGTAGTGAGGGGTGTTTTGGTTTGGTTTGGTTTGGTTTGGTTTGGTTTGGTTTGGTTTGGTTTGGTTTGGTTTGGTTTGGTTTAAGTTATTATTATAGAATTTAAGAATCCCAAAGCCTGTGTCAAATTTTCAGTAACAAGAAATACATTGGAAAGATTGCTACTCTTTAGACAATTTTCAGAGAAACTGATATCAGAATCAAAAGGATTAAGCTTACTCTAAAATATTCATATTGTATGACAACCCAAATTATATGTTCTTACCTTTCCATCTAAGAAACTAACATTCTTTACTGCAGTGTTTCTAGTGATTTTCTTCACTCTAAAAATAAAAATTCTACTATAGTGTAGTGACATTTTCCTACTAAGTTTAATATCAACCTTAATATCACCACATTAAATATTTATATTCAATGAGAAAATAACAGGTATACCAATATTCAAAGTAGAGTGATAATCTTCCAATTTAAAATAAACATTTTCCTGTGTACATATAGTAGTTAAAGTAGTTTGGGATGTTGCTTCTACACTATCTAGAGGATTTTACATCTTTTCCTTTATTTTCATATAGAACACAGATAGATAACAATTCTCGCAAATTTTCTTAAAACTATGAAATTGAATTTAAGAGTAGCCAACAGAAAATTATATTTCAACAGTTATGAAGTACATAAAAAGGCCTACATTTGAGATCCAATGTTGGCAAGAAAAAAACCTAAATAATTAAAAAAAAATAGTTGGACATGTGTGTGCTTTTTGTGGGGTAAGGGAGAAAGAAAATGACCCCCAAAAATCAAAGATGACATAGATTCTAGCCTGGGGGACTGCCATAACCGTGCCACCATAAGAGATGAAGTCAGTTCACAAGGAATGTGCTTTCAGAACAAATTTCATCTGCTAAGTTTAAGAAAATGATGACGTGCACAAACAGAAGTTCCTAAAAAGGTGTTGAAAACTGCAAGGCATGGTATTAGGGCAGAGGAAATGAACTGTGAATCATCTCATCCTCAAAGGAAAAAGAGTGGTTTTAGTAAAATAAGCTCACATTACCTGTAAGCCAATTGGCAGCACTGTGCTATACAATTTCCATCCATTTACGTTCATCCTTACAACAGCTCCACAGAGTAGGGTCATCAGCCTTGTTTAGAAAAATGAGATCACCACATCTCTCAGAAGAAAAGTAATTTGGCCAACTAATCACAGAATTCTGATTTCAAGACCCGTATTCTTGTCATTACACTGCACAAATTTGCGGGAATAGTGCCTGGCAAACACATATAAACGAGATGTCCAAGCCAGTCAAGGTGGAGAAAGGTGTCAAGGACTACCCTAGAATTTTCATCTTCCCTCTCTCCTACAGAGACCAGGAGCCTTCTCAGGATCAGGGGCATTCCATGATGTTCCTAACAGTTCCAATTCAATTCTAACTCGGTGAGAATTTGTCAGCGTGGGCTTTAGGGTACCGTTACTAGCTAGGGGCATAGGGTAAAGTACATTGAACCAGTGTTATAATTAAACCTTGCCCCGTTGCTCAGGCATTTTTACTTGCACTGCTCAGATCAGGGTTTACTTCTTCGTTTACATTACAATTTATCTTTCTGTATCAATTGCTTTACCTAAGAAGAAGCCAATTCCTATACTGTGGAATAACTAAAACTTGACAATTACTATTGAGAATTTAATATTCTGAAACATTTCCTACAGCAGAATTCTATCAAATAATACACAATCTTCTCCTCAGCTCGTTTGGTGGGCAAGGCCTCTGATTTTAGTCATTTTGGACTTTGCTTTCTTTCAGATATTCTTCTTCAACATACAGTTTGAAAAGCCAATTAAGTAAAATTTTCACTAAACCTACTTTTAACCTTTCACAGAAAATATTTCTCTAAAATTTTCTCTAGCAATTTTCTTTCATCTGTTGCTTGTTCTCCTTTGCTGTCCATGAACAGCGAAGATGAATAAAAAACAACCCCAGGTTGTTTCCTTCCATACACTTTTTTAACATTTCTGCTGTGCTGGCAGATGCTAAATAAAACTCTTCACATCATCCACACAATAACACAATTTGTGATTTCAGTAAAGGAACAATTAGTGAAATTGGTTGTTAGGTTGGATTAAATGGTTATCCAGGAAAGCACAAGATTGCAGTCATGTGGACAAGCAGTCATTGCAAAGGAGTAGCCTCATAAATACACAAGAAATGATTTTATGGTTTTGGGACATGTCTTCAATTTGACTTAATATTCTTAAATACAAACATGAGAGAAAATGAAGGAAGATAGACAGATAGATGATAGATAGATATAGATATAGATGATATAGATATAGATAGATAAATCTGCATTCATTCTCTTACCGAAATAACAACAAGGGGATAAAAAATGGAAAGATGACTATCTTCAAGTAACTTCAACAACTTCTGAGTTTCATGAAAATCAGAGTTCATAACCTGAATGGCAAAGAAGAAAGGAAGAGTTCATAATGAATGTAAAACTGAAGCTGCAAAATGCAAACATTTTTGCATAAAAACAAAGATTTACTGACATTTAATTGTTAATTATTTAAACTATTATAAAGGGCATCCATGTAGTTATGTACATTAAAATTTGAAGTACTTATTAATTAAAACCATGCCAAATAATCAGCTTTACACCAGGTATATAACACAAAATTTAAAATATAATCAAAAGAAACATCAGATTCTCATTATGAAAATTAGCTTATTAAAAGTAATATTTCACTATTTAACAAGATAATATATAAATTTTCCAAATATATATTGAATAACAAAAGTGAGCTGTCAAATCTTTTATTCTTATTTTGAAGCATCAAGAAATATTTAGTTCTCTTCTACGTTACAGCAATAGAGACCTTCAAGTGTTTTCATTTACTTATGTTTACTACTTACATTGACGCAAACAAAACTGCAGCAGCGCTCTAAGGTGACGCGGGGAAGATCTCCGGCAGCAGGACCCAGTGCCTTAGATGTGACATCTGCATGCTAAAGGGGAGAAAAGAACAGAGGATCAACTTATAAACTGGATCTTCAAACAAGAGCATAATCAGAATATAAACAGCTTCATTATGAAACGTAATTGCTGTAGGAGAGGCACAGAGAGATGAGGGGCCATATATAAAAACAAATTAGTTTCATTCACAATAGCCAAAAGGTGGAAACAACCTACATGTTCATGAACAGAAGAAAGGATAATCAAAATGTGGTCCAGCCATTTAATGGGAAATTACTCAACTAACAGGAGAAATAAAATCTTTACATAAGCTACAATAAAAAATGGAGAGGAAATATATTTAGTGAAATAAGCCAGCCACAAAAGGATATATTGGGGAATGTCACTTATTTTTAAAAAATGAAAGCAGAAAAGGCAAGTGTAGAAGTTGATTAAATCAACAAAGTTGATTACTTGTTGGCAGGACAGGAAATAGGGTAAGGGTTAATAATGACAGAAATATCACATTGATTAAAAATTGCATACACAACTATGTGAATTGTTCTCAATAAGTTGTATATCTGTAAAAAGCTAAATTTTCAAAAGTTGGTGATGATATAATTACAACAATGAAAAAGTAGGTAGCTACTTAAGCTGCTTAAGTAGATCCAAATACCGTTTGGTTTCTTGGCGAGGAGGGTTAGGGACAGGCCATTTAATTGGCCTAATAACATATTTATTGCTTCTGTTCTGCCTCCAAACTGGATGCGTAGTACCTGTGGCCTTCAACGGACCTTTTAAGTAGCCATCTGTGGCACGACTGGACTCGACTTGCCTGGAGCAGTAGAGGAAGAAGGAGCGCCGGGAGTAAGAGAAGGCCACGGAATTAGTTGGCAATGGCCTCCACGAACAACCAACTCCTTTGCCAGGAGACCAGAAGAAATGGGCTAGCTACTATGACTAGATACTGTGCTCAAATATCCTATAGGAGAATCCTGATCAAAAAGGGGAAAATGCAGAATGAGTTTTCAATTCTCATAGATTCTAAATTTTCTGGAACCAGTAAGGTTGACTAAACTCCTAAAACTATTTTCCTGAGACTCTGGACTTTAAGCCAAAAGTATTACCTGAAGTCTTAAGAACTAAACAATAGTTTGTTCATTTTAAAGTCTATCTTGAGCATGACACTCTTTTTTTATCATTTTATTGGAGACTCATACAATTCTTATCACAACCCATACATACATCCACTGTGTCGAGCACATTTATACATTTGTTGCCATCATCATTCTCAAAACATTTGCTTTCTACTTGAGCCCTCACTATAAGTTCCTCATTTCCCACCCCCTCCCCCTCCCACACTTCCCTCATGAACCCTTGATAATTTATAAATTATTATTTTGTCATGTCTTACACTCTATGACATCTCCCTTCACCCACTTTTCTGCTGTCCATCCTCCAGGGAGGAGGTTATATGTAGATCCTTGTAATCTATTCTCCCTTTAATCCTACCCTCCCTCTGCCCTCCCAGTATGGCCACTCCCACCACTGGTCCTGAAGGGATTATCTGTCCTGGATTCCCTGTGCTTCCAGTTCCTATCTGTACCAGTGTACATCCTCTGGTCGAGCCAGATTTGTAAGGTAGAATTGGGATCATGATAGTGGGGGGGAGGAATCATTTAAGAAGTAGAGGAAAGTTGTATGTTTCATCATAAGCATGCCACTCTTTTGAGAACTATTTAAGTCAAAGAATCTTACTGCCGTAAAGTATAGCTTGGCTCACAGTAACTCTACAGGACAGAGTAGAACTGCTCCTTAGAATGTCAGAGACTGAATGTTTAAGGCAGAGATGGCTCAACATTCTCCTGCAGAGTGACAGGTGGGTTTAAAGCACTGACCTTAAGAACAAAACATATGACATCAAATTAACAACTGTATCACAAGTGATTAGAGTGCAACTTAGGGGAATAGTAAATTTGGTAAAAAAAATAGTAAATAAAAATAGGAAGGACAAAACTCAGATGTTAAGCATAGGAATAGCTGCACAACTGGATGACTGCAGTCAATGTCACCAGTACATGTAGAAAGTATGCAGAGAAAAATGAGTAATTGAGCTTCTGAGAAAAAGACATGTGGACAAGACTACAGATAATGAATATTGATAAGTCAGAGCATAGACAAAAATCATCTGATAGGACAAAATGTAGCGGTGCATGATATTCAGCAACAAGCAAGTGAACTCGTCTATCTATACAAGAATGTATCATAAAGAAGGAGCAGAGGAGAAGAGAACAAATTTCATTAAATCTGAAATAACTGAAAGTAGTGAAAGTAATAAGAAAGTATCACAAGCATATAAATGAAAAAGACTAGAACTGGGGCAACAATAATAAGATAAAGTGTGACATGAGTGATACACTGAAAAAGTAGATTATTACTAAAAAATATTACTAGAGTAGATTTTGAGATAAAAGTACATATATTGCACAAGATTCCCTAATGACATTTTCATTCCATTTAGAATAATATTCTAATTAACTTAGATTTTTAAATTATAACAATGTAAACAAAAATGAAAGATAACAAAATAGAACGACTGCTATAATAGCTCTGTGATAATTCTATTGGATCTCACATTTCAGTAAGTGCTGGCAAATGTATGGCATTATATGTAGTGTGAATTAAAATTCATGCATCGGTGATATAATTTTTGTTCCAAAGGAATAGAAAAGACTGTGCAACTCTAAGGATATTATCTATTGACTTGCTTAATTGTATATAATTTTGGTGAAATTTGAGATGAAGGAAAGCAAAGATTTTGAAGTCTTAGCTTTTCTATACTATTTAGTTGATTAGCAAATATTAAGAATAAAGATTCCTACAGATAGGCTGAATAGTAAGAGTGAAGTGACAGTACTTGTAATGGCTCTTCTTGGAATTGCTATGTAATTCCCATCAAAGGACTGCATGGGATCGTGCAAATTGGGTGTGTGTAGCACTACAGAGGGGATTGGCCAGTTTTTACATTCACCGGGGATATAAGAGTGAGTCATCTCAGAAGAAGAGAAAGAGAATTCCATGATGACTGAGAAAGAAGCACCAATGGAGTGCCTGAAAGACCACTGACTGAAGAGGTGGAGGCAGAAGAGGCACCAGCGGTTGCAGTGCTGAGAACCTGAGAGAGAGCTGAGAAGCAGCGCCAAATCCAGAAAGCACAACAGCCGGCTTCCTGGACCCCGGAAGAAGGAGGCCAATGGACAATGTATTTAAGACGCTGAAGACAGAGACACATCTGCCAGCATGACGGAGAAAAGGTGTGGCAGAGAAAAGAACTGTATCTTTAACATTTTATAACCTGTTATCTTGTCTAATAAACCTCATAATCATGAGGATTGTGTGTAAGTTCTCTGTAACCATTGCAACTTATGATCAAATCCACCAGAGAAGGTGAAATTCGGGAAGTGTGGTTGGTGTCAGAAAGGGGTAAAGAGGATGGAGGGTAGAGGCTCATCTGACTCCTGTTGTGGAAATCAACCTTGGGCTCATGTTGGAGCTGGACTCTCCTTTGCATGGCCAGAGGAGGTCACACTCGCCCCCTCCCCCCACTCCCATGCCATTTTCTTATTCTGTATTCATTTCTTTTTAATATTCCACCATTATTCTTTTAAGGAAAATGTCTTGGCGGAAGACGGGTGTGTTAGGTACTATCAAGCCCATTTCAACTCCGAGCAGGCTTGTACACAACAGTACAAGCCAGCGCCTGGCCCGTGCCATGCTCACACTGTTCTTAGGTTTGAGGTCAGTGTTACTCCCACAGTGTCAACTCATCGGATCGAGGACATGCCTCTTTTTCCCTTCCCTCTCCTTAACCAAACATGAGGGCATTCTTCCACATGAGGAGACAAAGTCTCAACATCCTTGCCTCTAAGTAGCATTCTGGCTGTACTTCTTCCAGGACAGACTTGCTGGTCCTTTGGCGGCCCACGGTGCTTTCAGTATTCTTTGCCAGCACCATCATTCAACTGCATCCATTATTTTGCCATTTTCCTTATTCAATGTCCAAATTTCACATGCAACTGAAAATACCATGGCTTGGGTCGGGCTTGCCGTACTCCTTAAAGTCACATCCTTTTCAGCACTTTAAAGAGGTCTTCTGCACAGATTTACCTAATGCAAACTGGCTTTTGATCTCTTGACTGCTGCTTTCCTGACCATTGATTGTGGATCCAACAAGACAAAACTCCTTGTCATAGTCAACCGTTTCTCCATTTATCATGATGTTACCTATTGGTTCAGTTGTAAGAATTTTGTTCTTTTTGACACTGAGTTGTAATTCATACAGAAGGCTTCAATCTTTGATCTTCATTTGCAATTGCTTCAAAGGCCTCCTCACTGTGATTTGCATATCACAGATTGTTAGTAAATCTTCCTCCAATCCTGACGCCTCCTTCTTTTTCATATAATCCAGCTCCTCTAATTATTTGCTTAGCAGACAGATTGAATGAGTATGGTCAGAGGAAACAACCCGGACCCACACCTTTCCTGACTTTCAGCCATGCATTATTCCCTGGTTCTATTTGAACAGCTGCCTCTTCATCCATGCAGAAGTTCTATGTGAACACAATTAAAAGTTCTCGAATTCCAATTCTCCTCAATGCTATACATAGTTTGTTATGGTCCACAGTGTTAAATGTTTTTGCATGGTCACTAAAATAAAAAAGTAAATCTTTCTGATATTCTCTGCTTTCAGTCAAGATGATCTGATATCACCAATGATATCCCCTGTCCCAGACCATCCTCTGAATCTGGCAGCTCCCTATCAATGCACAGCTGCAACTGCTGTTGGATGATCTTCAACATTTTGCTTGCGTGTGTGATGAATGATATTGTATTAAATTTAAGCATTCTGTTAGGTCATTTTTCTTTGGAATGAGTAAAAATATGGATCTCTTCCATCCAGTTGGCCAAGTAGCTGCCATCCAAATTTTCTGGCACATAGATAAGTGAGTGCTTCCAGTACTCCACCAACTTGTTGAAACATTTAAATTGGCTC